ATAGGATTGAACATGTATGACATGAATAGAACATGTATCATATGTATGGGATAGAACATGCATGTTATGAATGGAATATAACATGTATGATGTGCATAGGATAGAACATGTATGATCTAAATAGGATAAAACATGTATGATATGTATGGGATAGAACATGTATGATATGTATAGGATAGAACATGTATGATGTGCATAGGATTGAACATGTATGATATGTATGGGATAGAACATGTATGATATGTATGGGATAGAACATGTATGATATGTATGGGATAGAACATGTATGATATGTATGGGATAGAACATGTGTCATACAATCTTTATCTCGGGTTTTTCTTGAAGAATTGTGACGTGTCGGCGGCTCCGGTCACCTCGATGGTCTAACAATCCTCATTGGTCAGTGGAGGCCCCGCCCCCCAATGCTCGTCCTGTATGCTGACAATCTAATTGTACTTCCTGCGGCTGCAACAGCTCTCCTATCCCGGACTACGGAGACGCCGGTCACATGGCACACGGATGATCCAATCACAACGTCTCTCTCATATGAAGGATGACATGCTGGGCGCAGGGACATCACGCGGTCTATAGATCACAGCCCGGCCCCTGACACGTGTGTCACATGACTGGTCACGTGACGGGCGCAGGGACATCACGCGGTCTATAGATCACAGCCCTGCCCCTGACACGTGTGTCACATGACTGGTCACGTGACGGGCGCAGGGACATCACGCGGTCTATAGATCACAGCCCTGCTCCTGACACGGGAGTCACATAACTGGTCACGTGACGGGCGCAGGGACATCACGCGGTCTATAGATCACAGCCCTGCTCCTGACACGGGAGTCACATGACTGGTCACGTGACGGGCGCAGGGACATCACGCGGTCTATAGATCACAGCCCGGCTCCTGACACGGGAGTCACATGACTGGTCACATGACGGGCGCAGGGACATCACGCGGTCGGCCGCTTGTTTTCTGCAGAACTTTAACTAAATATTATAAATAATTCATCTCCTCCGACCACAAACGACCTTCTGCGCCAAATCCGCCGTGACTCCGCCCCCCCGACCGCGCCGACTTAACCCCCGAGACTCCTCTATGGAGAGAGATGTTATATATCTGACCCAGGCATGTGATCCCGCCTCCATGACATACTACGGGGGGAGGGGCCACCGCACTACCTGGGGGGCTCAGCCCCCCGTCTTTCTCTCACACTTGCTCTTCAGACTACACCCAGCCTTATCTCCCTCCTGTCATTTCACACAAGCACCTCCCCTTTCTCCAACTGAAAGCCTGATTTCAGCTTTCAGCCTGCGGGCGGCTGTGATTGGTGCAATGGCTGAGAATGATCGCCATGGAAACGACACCCGGCTCCTCCTCCTCTCAGGTGACTGGATCATATGAAGCCTGCACAGAGCCTGAAATCACATTTCCAGCATCCCCCGCAATGTCCTTGGATTCCCTACCAGGCAACAAGCAAGGCGCAGACACAGCTGTACTTCCAACCGCCGATGGGCCCCTTGCTGACCCGAAGGGGCCCGGTATGGGGGGTACTGCCTGCACCCCGCTATCAGCGGCCCTGAGCTGTTCTGTAGTATGATCATATTTACATTGAGTATTGACGCTGTGACATCATGTGACTCCATGTGACTCCATGTGACTCCATGTGACTTCATGTGACGTCATGTGACTCCATGTGATGTCATGTGACTTCATGTGACTCCATGTGACTCCATGTGATGTCATGTGACTCCATGTGACTCCATGTGACGTGTACAATGTCAGTAATGATCAGTTACCTGCACACGTCCTGGAACAATCCTGCCACTTAGCTTACCGACAGAACAGTACATGTGACCCACTCCCATCCCCTCCCCCCCCACACGCCCCCCCCCCCCCGCCCCCCCCCC